AGAAGATAATCTTTAACTGGCACGGTTAAAAGTGATTTTAGAGAGAGTGATTTGTTGAGTCCCTTCATTTTACAGCTGGGGAAACTGAGGGCCAGAGAAGTCACATAACCCTCTCAAGGTCATGGGACTAGCGAAATTCTGGATCCCGGGTCTCCTGCCCTTTGGGCCAAGGCCTCTTTGCCTAAAGCAGCAGAAAACCTGCAGAACAGCATCAAGATGGCCAGGAGGGAGACAACGCCATCCATCTCAAACATCATTCTGGCTTCTGCCAGCTGATGAAGGAAATGAAGTTAATGACGCCCACGTAAATGTGATGCTGTCGCAAGACGCGTACACAGGCTGTCTGGAGAGGAGCTCTGCGGGCCCCCTGAAGAAGGAAAAAGGTTTTTAGTGTAGCTTTACAGGGGGCAGTGTCTCCGTTTTCTGCAAGGACAGGGACTCTGGCATCTTTTAGCTGTGTCCCCTCCGCAGAGTGCCTGGTTTGGGACCGGACACAGCCACATAATAAATAGATGCGCGCTGACGGAAGGGAGCAGGGTCGGCCCTGAAGCAGATTCATTTCGAGCCCTTGTAGGTAGGGGCCTCTGAAGACCTTATCCCAGGGGGGAGGGAACTTAGAGGTGTTGGAATCAGTCATTTGAATTGATGGGTGAGCACGATGAGTCCCCATGACGCAAAGAGTCTTGTCAAAGCCATGCTGCAGGACGGGGGCTGCGCTGACTTCAGAACGGGGACTTTTCACATCACAGCCCAGCTGCTCCCTCCACTGCACCACATGTTTGCAATCTCTTTCATAACAAGTTGGCCTCAAGACTAAATATTCTAGGGGCGCCTGGGTGGCTCAGTGGGTTAAAGCCTCTGCCTTCGGCTCAGGTCATGATCCCAGGGTCCTGGGATGGAGCCCCACATCGGGCTCTCTGCTCGGCAGGGAGCCTGCTTCCTCCTCTCTCTCTCTGCCTGCCTCTCTGCCTATTTGTAATCTCTGTCTATCAAATAAATAAATAAAATCTTTAAAAAAAAAGAATAAATATTCTAAATATCCCCTGATAGGTCATCACCAGTTTTGCGAATATGCAGAAGTTACATGCCCATTCATAACTCTGTTTACCAGCCTAGGGTCCTTGGGAATAAAAAAACACGATGCTTTCTTTTCTCCTACTCAAGCTTCCTAAGCTCCCAGAAGAGGGTAGACCAACGTTTTGATTGGCCCCTGTGCAAACTTGCCCAGGTAACTTCTTTCCTTAGGAAAAGAATCCTTGGTCCATTTTAGAGGCTCCTAAACACTCTGCAGTGCTCACAATGCAGCAGGAAAAATTTGAGGGGAAATACATTTATGCTACCGGGAGGAAAAGATTGAGGTGGTCATCCGCGCCCCCTTGGGCAGCTTGGAGGCTGAGAAGCCAGAGGGGTCACCTCAAAGGAAAACTCATTCACCTGGCTTTTCACGACAATATGAAGCAGTCTATTTGCCATGTTTCTTTTGACCTGAGTGTGAATAGAAACATCTTTCCTTCAAGGTTTTAGTGACCTTTCTTAGTAAATGTGTGCCATATTCAGCACAAAACCCTGTGCGAGGAAGCATCTACTGGGCTGGCAGGTGGAAGCGGCACATAAAGAGAAGCTGATCATCTTCTGGTGAAACCAGCCATGGATTAGACTTGGTATATCTCCTCAACCTTTATTCCCTTTGCAGGCATGAGCTGGGTCCCTTTTTACTTCATTGGGGGTGCTTTGTGTTTTTCTTGAGCATTTTCTTAAGGAAACTAGACTTTTTTCTTCATTGTAATTAGTATATCAAAAGAGCAGATTAAATATTTGGTCATTTTATAGTGGTGGTTGTCAACTGCAGATAATTTTTGCACCCCAACCCCTACTGCAGGATTTTTGGCAGGGTCTGGAGATATTTTGGGTTGTCATGACTCGGGGTGGAGGGTTGCCACTGGGCCACAGTACTGCTGAACATGCACAGGACAGCCGTCCTAACAAAGACGATCTGGTTCAAAATGTCAATAGGGCTGAGACTGAGAAACACGTTATATGTTATGAGTCTATCTGAATTACTCAGAAGATAAGATATTTGGGGGTCTTCCTGGGCCCTTCTAGCCATAAGGCACTGTAAAGGCTCTGGGAATCAAAGCAAGTTCCCTTTGGCTTGAAAAGCATGTTTGAAAGGAATGTGCTTCTACCATAAAAAAACTCATATCTATTATTTTTTACCAGTCTGGATATAAAGCCCCATCTCCAACTGAAAATAAAGAGACAAAATTTAGGTTATTGAATCCTAGAATGTCACTCATGGAATTTTAGAACCATAGGCTTTTAAAATACCAGAGCAGGAACTTCAGCCAAATCACCTCATTTTCCTTATGGGGTCACAGTTGAGGAGCACTGCAATGCTGTGTGCCTCCCAGAACCCTATGTCTCTTTCCCCTCAGCTCTGTCTAAGTCTCAATTTGTTCTCTCTGTTGGCACCATCTGAGATTTCTGGCTCACTCCGGCTTGTTGTTTTGTGGTACCGTCATTGTTGCCATTTTGCTGGTTAGGTACTGATGCAGCGGTACTTCTATTATTGATGGCCTTTCCTTTTTCTAGCCCCCAGATTTCCCCAACAAGGTGAGCAGCTGGCATCCTTTAATCTAAGGAGTACCTGGGTGCCTGAGATGATTGGACCGGCTCCTTCCAACATGAGTGCCTGCCTGTCCCTTGGGGGAGAAAGGGTTATTCACATGGAACCTGCTAGGGAGCTGCCCCTCTCCATTTACCCCCACATACAATTCTATTGAGTCCCCAGATTTTAATGCTTCTGCATTTTCACCTAAAATTTAAAAAATGAGAGAGTTAGAAATGAAAGTGCCAATTACACAAAGACAATACTTTCCCTCCTTTTGACCCCCCCATCTCTCTGAAAAATTTCTGAGGGTATTTCCCTAGTTCAATTTCTAGTTTTATTATTTTATGTTTCAGAACATTTCTGAAACAACATTTACTCCTCAGATGATGTAGCCATTCCTGTATCTTGAAAGTGCAACAGTACCAATCTCTTCCCAGCTCTCCAGAGTTATGACTCTTCTTTCTTTATAAACACAGAATCCCATACACATTTGTAGTTTAGATATGTCTTGACACACGTAGGGGAAGAAGATGTAGAGTGAGGCTTCCTAACGGGCCACCACCAGTTTACTTAAAGAATTAGCATGGTGGATTCATAGTGTTACCAAAATGATTACAATGCAAACCTTTTAAACTGTGTCTCCCTTTTGTGAAAGACAATGTCAGGGAGAAGAAAATCAAACATGAGGATAAAAGCAATCGGGTGTGTGTATGGGGGGTGATGTGCTTGGTCCTATTAATTTGCTCTTTAATCTTTCTGGTTCAGTTCTGTCTCAGTAAGCCAAACAGAGAACCAATTTGCATACAAATGTTACCAAGTACCCCACCTCCACAGGATTTTACAGTTCTATATGTATGTAGAGGAGAAAGGATTTGATACTGTTAAGAGGATACTTCTTGCCCTTTCCCCCATAAAGTAGCTACATTTCACTACAATTCACAAGGCCCTGGATTGTTGCACTTTTTTGATTCTATCTGACTCCCTGACTATTTGAATTCTGAGCTGCGGGCAGGACTATGGCCTATCAAATAATTATTTGAACTGGAGATTAGAAGCTTTAGCATTGGGTATCTCAGGAACGGAGGGGGTCTTTTCTTTATCTCAAGAGAAAGGTATGAAGAGTGGTTCATATATAAACCCTTACAATCTGGGGTCTGGGGGAGGTGTCATTCATTTAATAAACCAATCGACAGGTTAGTCAAACCAACGATTCATATGTAGAATTCTCTACAATGTTAAAAGGAAAACCAAGAATTAGTTGCTGGTTTATGATGGGAGAGGATAATATTTGGTGATTACTTATTTTTAAAAATAACCTAGAGTGGGTTTTTCAAATGGCTGTTAATACAATGCCATGGTAAAACATGAGAGGCAGGTATCTAAAATGAGGAAGATTAATGATTCCTGTGGGTCATGGAAGAAGAAAAATTTTTTTTCAATTCATATAAATGGAATTTATCATAACCACCTCTGATGATGGCTGATTCACCGACTTACAAAAGGACTATCTATTTCAATGCTTCCTGAAGAGGTGATTTTTCACTTTTCACTTGTACTAACATAGAATGTTAAGCCTGTAGGCAGAAAATATTAACCTGGGAGATAACGGGTGAGGGAACTCAGCTCCAGACTGAGGGACAGACATAAATCAAACAAAACAAACAAGAATTGTCCAACGGTTCAGGATCTGCAGATAACAAAGTAGAGTTTGAAAAGGTGAGTGGGTGAGAGGAGGGAGTCAAAGTTTCAAAAGGGAAATGTTTCCCAGGATCTGTTCCTAAGTAGATCCACTCTGCACCCAAGTTCAAGGCTTTACAATCAGAGGTGATAATACTATTGTTTCCAAGCACTAAACCTCAGCACTAACCCCCCCCCCCCCGCAGAAAAAGAAAACAACAACAAAAAAGGAGAAAAAAATAAAATGTTCTGTGTCCAGCAAGTTCTAATGCAACCTTCCCCCTCACCGCTAGTTGTCACTTGGCTCCCAGACGGGAGAGCTGAGGTTTTCGGCACTGCGGTTAGAGAGAATGCAGTCCTAATTAAACTGAGTAACTCCTGAAGCTTCCCCTTAAAGTCCTCAGCCCAGTGAGAGCCAATATGCAGAGGGGCTGGGGGCCAGTGATGGGGTGGGAGTATAGCAGGTGGAAGGACAGACAAATCACAAAAAACGCAAACAGCTGCCAGAGCAGCGACTGTCTCAGACCTCCACGCACAAGCCAGACACCCTGCGGGCGGGGTGGGGTGGGGGAGCGGGGAATGGAAAGACCCGATTGCAGCGGTATACAACAGCCCCCTCCCCCACAAATGAGGGGATCACGGACAGAGTCAGCCTCAGTGCTCCTTTCCCCCGTTTCCATTACAGCGATGTGGTCAGTAGAAAATTGCATACCTGAAGAATACAATGGTCTCCCAAAGGTAGAGTCGAAGAGTATTGAAGCTGTACATTTTTCAGGTCCTTGTGCTTTGTAGTCCACGAGTTATGGGGGCAAAAATGTTTCAAATTGGCACTTACAAAACCAGCGAGTGCTATTGAAAAAATAATCCAGATGCTAAGAGGAGGTGGAAAACCGGGGCGCGGAGGAAGAGCCCCAGGGGAAATTGGAAAGAGGGGTCTCTGGGTACCACGGACAGAGGCAGCCGCGAAGCGTTTCAGCACCACGGAGAGCGTCCAGCCCTGCTTTTCAGGAGTGCGAAGAGTATTGCTGTTTGTTAAACTCCAGCTTGTCTGTTGGCTCCCTGCGGCGCTGGGGAGGCACGTTTGGGGGTGGGTATATTTTCTTTTTTACCCCTGTTTTTCTGTTTAAACGGCTAGCTCCATGCAAGGGAAAAAAAAATCTTCTGTGGCGATCAGAACGCTGGCCTCGGACTGTTAGGTTCGGCGAGCATCTTGGGTAGAGAGAGCTGGGCTTTATGCCCCTGGGCTGGCCTGAGGGGGTTAGGGGCGAGGGGAAGGGATTGACGGTGCTGCCTTCAGTTAAATCCCGGAGAATGTGCCAGGCTGGCGCATCGCGACCGAGTCCCGGAATCTCGTTTCCCTGTCTGCGTGCCGGTCTGCTGTCGCCTTGCGATCCGTGTTCTCTGGTCCCCGCCGAATAAGTTATGATCGCTGCAGGAAAGGTGTCCCATTGCTCGGGGCTGCAGGCGTGAGAGAGCTCAGGGCAAGTTTCAGGGGCTGCCGGGGTCCATGGCGACCCCGCGGGGCTCAGTAGCCCAAGGCTTCAGATGCATCTCGATTTTCTGAGCTCTCCCATCTTCCTCTGGCCAGGACTCCTTCAGATCTTCAGACTTTCTTACTGCATTAATTTAACAAACTGGCGGCATGGGGGTTGGAGGCGGGGTGGGAGGGGGCGGGCGAAGGCCGATGGGAGGGGGTGGAGAGGAAAAAAGGGGGGAAAAAACTCCTTAGTATCTTCAAACCCTCCCACTCGAGGTGCTCATTGGCCCGCGGCTGCAAAAACCAGATCTTTTCTCAGTGTTTGGCCAATCGCGTATAAGACTCTGGGTTGAGTTTAACGCTTAAAGTGCTGGGCGAGATCCCTGTCTCTCTTCTCCTTTGCAAGCGGGCAGTGGGGTGGGGGAGATTATGGAGTTAATCTCTCGAGGCCTGTCAAAATATTACCACGATATTTAAAGAACGTACTTATATGTGAGTAAAACAAACACGACGGGTCCCAGTTCGAACCTGTGTCTGGGCTCAGTACATCTTAAAAGGGAAGAGCTGAACCACATCCGTGACTTTCTTTAGCGCTCTGAAGTTATAATATTTGGTACAGAAGTGAAGGAGAGTTTTCAAGAAAAAGCCTGGTCCATAAAAGCCCCCTCCTGTTCCCCTGGGCCACTGCAGGAGAATTTCCTTGAGCACTGTCCAGGGTCAAGAGAGAGCAGCCCTGGCCTCACTGCTGGGCCCCCTGGGGGAGATAAGGAAGATATCCCCCATTCCAACTGGACAGGAGACACTTTTATTTACATGTCACAAGCTGGGGCAACAGAGACTAAGAGAGCTGTGTCTTGTTCCCAAATGATTGAGCCAAGCTGTACACACAGGTATTTAGTACTTAACCACTCCTACTCTCTTTTTCCCCCAGCCCCCTGCTTCTCTGTTTCCCACCTTAGCTGAGTCTCAGAAACCAGCTATACATTTCACTCTAGAGCCCAGCTGGGGAGGTGGAGTTAATCAGATTTTCCCCAAGCTACCAGACTTTAGTGGATTAATAGCCTCCGCAGGATTTTCTGGCTGATTTGAACTGGCTGGGACTCTGGGGTCTCTCCCTCCTAGCCTAGTGAGTGGGGTCAAAACTTCCCTCTTTCTCAGCAGTTAGGAACTCCTTCTTTTGAGGTTTTGGAGGTTGGTTCTCCCTACAATAGTTCTTAACAGCTCAGCTGTCTCCAAGCCCAGGCCTTCTCCCAAAGAAGTCTGGAAAGCTTTGTTCACCAGTCTCCTACCAGCAGGGATCTCCCCACCTCCAACCTCCATGCCACTCTTATGACACAGCCGACATTACTCTCTTTTATTGGCTTCCACACACCAGAACAGTGGTGGGCTGCTTAGAATTTCCAGGAGTTTCTGAGTAGTGACTGAAAAGGGCTTTGAAGGTGGTCATTCATGAGTCTTATACACATTTATATTATCTGTCTATCTATATCTATTGCTAACCTTTATTAGCATGCCTTTTATCGATCAGGTACTAATATGCACTTCACATAATCTCATTTACTTCCCACGGTAATACCTTGAGGTAAATATTATCTCTGTGCGTGTGTTTGTGTATATGTGTGCGTACATTTGTGAGTAGCTTGGGCAAGACAAACATGTATATTTCTGTCTATACAAATTGCTTTGTGATTTGGTGTCCACCCCAAATTCTGAAGCAAATGGACAGTGCACATGTGTATTTGTACATTTGTGCTTATAAATGGGTCTCTGTCCACATGGACACATATATATGCATCCTCTTGTGTCATTGTTATACCTCTGAAGATTCTAAAACAAACTGTGATGTCGCAACTTTGTCTTTGTTCCTTACCTGGCTAGGAAGCAAGTGGATAAAGTGCGTGAAAATTACCTTTTCTTTTCCTTCAAGGGACACTGTGTGTGTGTGTGTGTGTGTGTGTGTGTGTGTGTGTGTGCGCGCGCGCGTGCGCTTATTATTGTTGTTGTTGTTGTTGCTGATGTAGGCGTGACTGGCTCCAAGGCTTTGATCTGTGCAGGAGAGGGGAATATTTACTACCCGGGGGCCCCTGTCTTCTAGTAGGCTTCTGTTTACACTGAGTCTGCTACCTTTACTTAATCAGCATGCATGAAGTAAGAGTGTGCCAAGCTTTGGGGATCCGCCAATACGTTAGATGAGCGATACTCTGAACCTCCTTGACACGAAATCGCTTTAGAGGTTCAGTGGGAAAATTCCTCATCATTGGGAACCTACAATTGTTACCTCAGATCTCATATATTTCTTATGTCTGTAAGCAGTATACTCAGATGTTTCAGCCTTGTGTAGGTCACTATTGAAATACCTGTGGGCTTGGAGGTCAGAGATTTATGTTCTTATTTTATCTCTGCCTCAAAAAGGCTGGATGACGTTGGATAAATGACCAAATCTCTTTGGGTGTAAGTCACACAGGGAGAGTAGCATCCATTCTTCTCATCACAAGAAGCTGAGTAGGAGATAAGGCATTCCGGTCTAATCTTATTATGACTACCAAGCTTTGAAATAGAAATCTCAATGGAATGGAATGGATTGGCTCCAGCAGATGGTCCATTTTGTAATGGTAAGTATTCTGTGGAGCTTAATTCCAATACTTGGGTGGCCTCCTATAGATAGTCAGATTTGAGCTCTTCTAATTATGAATACATTTTGACCTGCACCGAGACTTAGTTTATTCCTAGAGGCGATTCATGCTTTAATTTCATTCATTCATTCATTCATTCATTCATTCAGCATTTACTCTGTGTCAATCATTATTCTAGGCACTGGGGATATAGCAGGCAACAAGACAGGTAAAGATCCCTATTCTAATGGAGTTTATCTTCCAGCGGAGGGGTGAGAAGACAAAAAGGTAAATTATGAGGTATTAGGCAATCATAAGGTTTAAAGAGAAGAAAGCAGTCTAAGGGGAGAAAGTGATACAGAGGTACTATTTAATATAGGGTGGTCAGAGCAGAGAGTGCTTTCTGAAAAGAAGACATTTGAACAGAGGAAAGAAGGAAGTGAGGGAATGAGCCATGTGAACCTCAGGGAGGGGAAGGAGAGCTTTCCAGGTGGTGAGGGAGCAAACATAAAAACCCTGAGAGGGAATATGTTTGAGTGTGCAGGAAAGAGCAAGGAGGCCAGTATGCCTGGGTGGAATGAATGACGGTGAGAGTGCTGGCCGAGGAGATTAGCGAGTTCTTGGGGGAGATGCCAGGCCCTGTCTCCAGAGCACAATAAGGACTTTGGGTTTTATTTTGAGTGAAACCCTTTTGGAGGGTTTTGAGTAACAAGATTGTCTGGCTACTGCGTTTACAGTAAGATGTTAGGGACGGGAGGGGAAAATGAAAACAAGGAGACTAGTTAGAAGCTACTGAAAAAAGTCCACGTGAGAGATTCTTAGAGACGGTTCTTGTTCCACAATTTATTTATAGAAGAGGAGAATGATATCCAGAGAGGTTAAGTGACTTACCCCTTAGACGAGTAGTAGAGTTGGGATAAGAATGCAGGTACCTAATTATAGCTAATGGGTCTTTCCACCTATTTTTGCTCCAACTAAAATGAAGGGCATGGAGAGAGAAGGTAAAGGAAATCTACAACGGAAGAGACTTCACCTGGCTTGTTACCAATACGTGTCTAGCAGCATGTAGAGTGCCCAGCACATAGGAGGAGCTCGTAAATATTTCTTGCAAGGATGAATGAGTGAATAAATGAAGGAAGAACAAAAAGATGCAGGCAGTGGGCCTGAAGAGAGAAAGAGGAAGGGCTAGTGTTAATCAGGTGAGATTATGCAGGCCTGAACCCGCTAATGTAATTAACACAATGCCAAGCCTCTGACCATAATGACATTCACAGAGGAGAGTGCTGGATGTTTCAATACTGCTTTGACAGGCTTCAGTGATACTTTGTAAAGAGAGATGGATATTCTGAGGAACTGAGCAGCTTGCCTAATTGTGCTGAAGTATTTTGATAAATACAGGTCTTCAAATGGTACTATGGAAGAACCTTTCCTCCAAGGAGTGGGAGGCTTACTGCCAGCCTTTCCTAACCCAATTTAGAGAATGAACTTGCTACCATTTTTTTTTTTTTAATTGCAGAGCAATAGTATGCCCTTCGTGCTTTTAAAGATGGGACCTCAGAACTACTTGGGAAATCTCAGCGGCACTAGGAGAATTTTAAGTCATAAGCAGTGGATGCTTAAAATATCGAGGGACCTTTCCTCCTATTTTTCACCAAGAAATCCAGGAATTGGAATGAACT